TATTAGTTGAGCGGAAACGCCGCTATCTCATATTAGGCGTCTATCTCATAATAAGGAGCTTTCCTGTATATATTTGATAATGTAAATTTGATGGTGACACTTTCAATCAAGATTTTTTATCTTTACAACACAAGTATTTTTATTAAAAACGCACAATAAATTTTTATAATAATTTATTTGAACAAATATATTCATAGATATTCTCAGTTGCGGGCGTGCGTATATGTTTCTATATATATATATACGTCTGTAATTTGTGTATAATTTACTATGATTATATAATACAATTATCAAAATCTTATTACGCAAATTTTTCTTATTTATTAATTTAATTAGTTCATAAAAAAACAAATATTTGAGAACATATAACGCTTAAGTAAAATGTAAGAAAAATTTTGCTAGAAATTTATCATGAAATTTTGAAGGAAAATATAAAAATAACAAGAATAATGGTGTGAAACAAATGAAAAAAAAAAAAATATATATATATATATATACATATATATATATATATGATTTACATTATATATCGGATTCGGGTTTTTACATAGGATCTACATATGTAAATAAAGAAAATTCGCATAATATTAATATGTCTAACTCATGTGAATAAAAAATGTACATCACTAGATTAAATTGATCAACAAAAAAAAGAGTTCGGATGTAAAAAAGTATAGTTTTAAATAAAAACAATTTTTTCTTTGAAAAAGTCTAAAGATTTTCAAAAGGAGAATTTATGTATCCGTTTAATAAGATTTGTTTTAGTTACCGATATTATTGCGAGAACAAATGAAAAATAGCACGCAATTAAATAAAAGAGAAACAGAACAAAAACGGAAAATAATTCAAAAACACAATAATGTGTGTGGAATTCGTCAAAATAAATTTGGCACTTATTATATAATAATATGCTATAAATTTGTTATCAAATTTTGCTCGCTAACTATATAAATGCACAGTGTACGCAAGTAAGAAAATTTATAGATTTGTAAGAAGAGTAAATGTTTGTTGAAAAAATTTTACACGAATGCAAACAACTATTGAAAAATAATTAAAAATTATATTATATTTTATTTCCTAATTATTTCTTGTCCCCAAAAAAAGTTAGGTTGTCTGTATTCTTCAAGATTTTGTAAAAAATTTCTTCAACTCATTATATTTTATATATGTATAATATATTATATATTATATGTATACGGACACACATACGTGTACATATCAATTATCTAATCTTATATAATTGGAACAATAATAATTTAGAATTTTTAATCAATGGAAACTTTTGCATTAAATCATCAATTTGTTAATAAATCAAATCAATGCAAGTTTACATTGAAATTTGGAGCATCCGATAATTGCTTAACTAAATCTAGTAAATGCTGGATATTAATCTAAGTCATAGCGTTCTATAGCATTTTCATTTTCCTTATTGAATTTTCGTTGATAAAGATTGAAATCTGTATAATATCACTGTGCTTATTCTATATATATGTAAAAGTTGTCTCCATCATGTTTGTTTCATATTACAAAAATGTAACAATAAACATTAAAAATTAAATTTGTGGTATCGATTACAATACCTGTCTATTTCAGTTTTGAAAGTAACGAAAACTTGAGGTGTATATACAAATACACATATCACACTTTGTTAAAAATAATTATTTGAAAATAGCTTCGAATTTTATTTTAATTTGATTCGTATACATATATTGAATATATCCTTGATAGAAAAATTTCGTTGAATTATTCAACGTTTTGGAACATTTTTCGGAAAAATTTTAGTATTTCAGAAAAATTTAAGTTTAATTTCAACGATTTTTTAGTATGTTAGCTGAAAGATTCACTTTCAGCGAAATTTCAACAAATTTTCAGCAATTTTGCTGAAATGTTCCAACACATGAATAATTTCAGCGAAATTTTTTTACCAGGGATATCATATGAAATGTCATACATAATATATTATTGTATATATGTATGCATATATATAGAGTGGCATGAATATACGGCCCCACTCGTCCCGAGCAAGTAGAGTGGATTAAATTAAGTAGAAAAGTTCTCTACCATTTTATAATGCTCACAATAATTAACGAGATATTAACATTTAAAGAGTAGCCGAATACACGCGTCCGCTCAACTTACTATTGTCAAAGGTACGGCCCATCGAGCGAACGGCGCGCGGGCCGCGAGGAGCGGGAATGACCTAGTAAGCGCGCCGCGCCGTTTGAACTTAGATGCTCGCGACGGTAAGCCCCGCTCCTCGCGCTCTGTACTTTCGGCAATAATAGGTCGGGAGGACGTTTAAATGTTAATTATTGCGAGCATTCTTTAAACGTTAATATCTCGTTAATTATTGCGAGCATTACAAAATAGTAGAGGACTTTTCTACTCAGTTTAGTCCATTCTACCTGCTCAGGACGAGTGGGACCGTATATTCATGCTACCCTGTATAAAGATATATATGTGTATATAAAAGAAAATCATATATATCAATTAATAATATACATATACATACATATACACACACACACACACACACACACATATATATGTGTATATGTATGTATACAGGGTGTCTCGCGAGATTTCTCCAACCATCCGTCCACAGGAAGATAGATGAGATCGAAATAAACATAAAATTCCTTCACCGTTTAGCGATATTCGTAATAATAATCGAGATATTAAAATTTACAATTATCTAATGAGAGCGCGCTGATAAAAACGCTCCGGCCGCTCGAAGTATAGCTGCGAAGTAAGCAACGACGCGCTTCCTCTCTTACCTCTCTAACGCGCTGTCGGCGCAGCCTAAATTTGAAAAAGTGGACCGGGCTATATCGCTAAACAGTAAAGGATTTTTATGTTTATTTCGATCCCATCTATCTTCCTGTGGGCAGTTGGAAAAGTCTCGTGGGATATTCTGTATATCACACTTATATATGTATATTATCCCACAATTTTTAGCCAAGTGCTTTTATGTAGATAGTGGCCTAAACTGATAATATCGGAAAGTCCTCTACCATTTCGCAATTTTCGAAATAATAACAAGATAATAATTTATAAAAATAGCCAAATTCAAATGAAATAAGGTCATCCAGAGAGATATACGTCGCTAGACTTTATTAACAAGCGACATTGGCATTAACATGCTTAGCGACGGTAAACGTTCACTGGGCGGTCTTATCGCCTGCTTACATTTGGCAGTAAGCCGGGCGAATTTAACTACAATATTTTCATAATATCTCTTTAATCATTTCGAAAATTGCAAAATGATAGAGGATTTTAGACTCAGTTTAGTCCGCTCTATTTACACAAGAGAGTTTGGCCAAAAATTGCGGGACATCCTGTATATACTATGCGCGCGCGCGCGCGCGCGTGTGTGTATGTGTATTCAGATATATATGCATACATACATGTACATGTTCCGGATCGGTGAAATATCTCGAAAATTAAGCATTTCTGAAAGAAATTTTTTTTTTATAAAAGTTTTAGGATTTTAAATGATCTATTCATTGGTCAGACTGACTTTGAATGGCGTCGTCAGGGTCACGTCAAGGTCACATCGATTTTTTTAAATGGCACATTCTATTTTTGATTGCAGAACCTAATAGCTGGTGTCAGAGCTTTTCAAACACTACAAAAAAGTTATTTTTCATAAAATACTTTTCGAATTATGGAGTTTCAAAGTCACAATACTGTTGGCATTAGCATTATGTCTGACTGATAGCTAAAACCTTTTGAATGTTGTTTACTCAGTGAGAAATGATAATGAAATCAACATTCGATTTCATTGTCATTTCTCACTGGGTAGGATCATGTCCTGGATAATATTTATTAAGTCAAAGAGGTTATATCTCTTATTTTTATACTAGCTCTTGACACTAGCTATTAGATTCTGGAATAAAAAATATAGAATGTGCCGTTTAAAAAAATTGATATGACCTTGATCTGACCTTGGCGACACTATCCAAGGTCAGATTGACCAGATCAGTGAATAAATCATTTAAAATCCTACAATTTTTGTAAAAAACATTTCCTTCGAAAATATTTAGTTTTCGAGATATTTCACCAGTCCGGAATTTTTTACTTACCTGTATATGTATATTATTGATCAATAAATATAATTTTTTTTTAAATTATATGTCTAGCTGACGATCGCAAACATCCGTTAATGTTTAAAGCTCGATCATAAGACGTAGAATTGTAGGTTGTAAAACTAGAAACTAACCTATTTTAATTATAATATGATTGTAGAACGCAGAACGCAGGATGCAGAAAGTTGAGTCAACTTCAATTTTCATGTCCTGCGTTTTGTGTCCTACATTGCGGTCTGCGACCTAGCTATTAACAATCTGAAATACATTTCACTTGCGACCTGCGATTTGCGTTCTGCGTTTTATGTAGATCGGGCTTTAGGGGATCTTATAGTTGTTTTTGTTTTTATATATTTTTATTGATCGACTCAATAGGACTTACACACATACGGTTTACGTGTTATTGATATCACTACATCAATATCACACGCACACATATGCATATATTTTCGTAATACATTTTTATACTGAATTAGGCTAAGTCTAATTCTAAGAATTCGACAGTATTTGTTCATATAAAGTACTAATTTGTGAACTACTATTTCGTAAGTATAAACTGCAAAGCTTTTATATTGAGGATTTGTCGCGATGTTGATAGCTTATAGATGTCATATTGGGCTAAATAATGATAAAGATCTTAATTAAAAAATTTTTTTTCGTTCTTGATCTAAACTCCACCTCATGTAGGTATGCGCATAATTTTGCAAAAAGGATTTTCGAATCTATAAAAATAGAAAAAAAGAAATTGCGACACAAAAATTATTCTGTTTAGTTGGTAAAACATGCAGACAAATGACTATGATTCCCTATTTTTATATTCAAAACTTTTGACTAGAATTAACTTGAAAATTTTAAATATTTCTATAGATTGCTTAGTTCATTTTTTTTAATACAAGAAGTTTTGTGTATCTATATATTTATAATGCATATTATTTTTTCTTTTTAATTGAAGCACGCAAAATACCATTCAACTAGACAAATTTATTTTTATTTAATGCTCCGATTGAGCGATATGTAAAAAAAAGGATAGTTTATCGATGCATTGATGGCCGCATATATTGCATGTGTAAGGATCATCAAAGTTGTGACAACCCATGTGTACGGCGTACATGATCACATTGCCGAATACAATCTCGCAATAGTAGCAGGTGAGTTTAGCATCAAATAAATCGACTTTATCCTTAGTGTTCTTGATTTTTTGGCTTATTTTATAAAAATCATTCGATGGAGATTTATTAATGAAAGATTCATCTTCATTTTGCTCTGATTTCTTATCTGTGTTATTTTTTATCAAGCGATGTTCCAGTTTTATCGCTTTACCTTTACGTTTGCTAGTACCTGAGACTTTTGATGAGGTTGTATCAGTTAATGCCTGAAACTGAAGATGATTATTTTTAATTACATCGATCATGCGAAGATCCAATGGTATGTCTATAGATTCAGTCCTGTGACATTCTAGTTGGGTTTTTATCGCCAAGAATGTCGAGGATTCGCTAATAGTTTTCATATTATCGGAAAAATCAGGTTCGCCGATGTTGTTAGTTGTATCAAAATCAGATAAACTTTGAGCAAACATTTCCGGCATTTTATTAGCACTCAAAATTGTAAACATCTTTGCATACTCCGTTAATATATCGGACTGTGCGTTATCAGTTTTCTGCAAATTTTCGTCTGCTAATGTCGCATTTTCGCAAAGTAGAATGTGATTCGATAGATTAAACGCGGCGATCAAATCGCTGTAAGGAAACATAGTAACAGATTGGTTTTTGTTCATATCATGATTTATCCAATGCCCATTGCTTATTCCGTTTATCGCAGTTAAAGTCAAATAACGAGCAATCGACGAATAAAGTGACAAAGGTGAAGAAGTCACTGTTGAATCGAGCTGATTGTTTGTGTTGCTTGCTGCCACAATGTTTTTTGATGTCTCTTGATTTTTAGCGGATGATTTCTGTTTAGGCCCTCGTTTAGTACCGTAAACATCGATGATGGATAGCGGATTTGGCGAGCCATCAGCATTCAGCACTACCGCCGGTTGATGCTCCTTCTTTCGCAAATGTTTCTTCAGCGCGTTACAGAACTTGGTTTTGTACGTACAATCCGCGCATCTGTACGGATAGATATTCGAGTGCTTCTTCAGATGACTAGTTAACATTGATTTGCTTACGCATGTGTACAAACACTTTTTGCACTTAAAGGGCTTGGAGCCGTCGTGAACACTAAGCCAGTGATGGTTCATGTGATGCTTATACTTGGTAACAAAGGAACACTCGGAGCATGTAAAGCCTTTGATGTGGCAACGCATGTGCTCCCAATATTCCATCTTCGTGCTAGCTATGAAATTGCACTGTTTGCAATTCTTAGCCTCTCGAAAGCTTTTGTCTTGTTTGCTTATGTTGCTTTGCAAATTCACGCGAGAAACATGAAGAGAAGATTCGTCAGTCTCTTCTCTTTTTTTATGTTTATATTCTGCCAGTATAAAAGGAGAGGAGGAGTTATCATTTTGATTTAAAGGGGATTTAAGGATTGGTAAATGTGTAAGGACGGCTTTAAGACTAGAATTATTGCGCTTTGATGTGTAATGGCTAGTTAGGTGTTCGCTGAATTCTGACCTAGAAATTAACGAATTTGATGCCTTATTTCGCCTTTAAATTTTACTGATTTAATATTATGATATTTGATATTATGATAGTTGAATATTATTATATAAAGATTACATTCAAAATTATTATATATTAATTTTAAAAAATTATATACTATGCATTTGACATACATATGCTTGCCTATATGTACAATGTATAATGCTCATAATTAGAATACTAATCATAACGTACCTGTTTGATGTAGCGAATACACATAACGAACACTGTAGAATGTTTTGTATGGGATTAATACTTTCGCTGAGTAATGGAATGATGTTTGACATGATGCTCAACGATCGATCAGTTCGATATTCGTTCATAATATTCGGATACCGTATAAATTCCTTGAATAAATTAATGTTTTTGTAAATAAATTGTACTTGACTATACTGTACTTGGTAGTGACAAGTTACAACCTGTTGAGAAAAATTATCATTTCCTGACAGCTTGATGATACTCAAAGAAACTGTTCTTATCCTCCAAGTTTTTTCTGTAAAAATATAAAAATTGAAGTATTTCTTTTCTAAAGACTAGTATTAAAAGATGCGTTAATATCGAAGAATTTGGTATGCGTAATGAGTAATTTAACAAATCAAATGATACATGTATCTGGAATGTGAAATATTGAGAAATTTGTAGAACAATTAATTTCTTTTTCTTATTTATTTAAAGTATGTAACATGCAAATACGTTTTATCAAAATAAATTATTTTTTTTATCAAAAGTAATTATTTAGAATAACGGAGTCAGCTTTGATGACCTTGACCTTGATGTACGTTGTCAAGGTCATGATCCTGTGTGACTTCCGTCGCTTATTCGTTAAAAAGTATTAACAATCAAAGTTAGTAATTATTTTCCCGCTTTACATGAAGTCAGATAACTCTAGATAGAAAGAGAGGTATGAGATGGACTGATTGAGGGAATACAACTTTCGATGCGAAGCGAATTCCACTTCATCTCTCCCGATGCCAAGAAGCGTCCGACTTGCCATGGGAAATGAATTCTACCCCACCTTTCTTCTGCCTAGGCGTACGACTTTCTACGCGAAGGAGTTCCACTTCCTCCCTTTCGAGAAGCATTTGACTTTCTACATGAAGAAAGATATATCTGAATGGAAAATCGTATGCTTCTTGACAGCGAAGAAGGTGAGGTGAAATTCGTTTCGCGTAGAAAATCGTGCGCTCCTTGGCAGGGTGTCGGTGGAATGAAACTCACTTCGCGTGGAAAATCGTAAAGCAGAAAATTATATTTTAAAGCAGAAAATTTCTGTTTTATATTTTTAGTTGAAAAGAAACATCATTTTTCAGATTTTATTTGGTAATAACTTTTTAACGAATATATATATAACGAGCGACGGCTAATACTTATTGGATATCACTCAGAGTCATGATATTGACAACTATGTCAAGATTATCGAAGCTGACTCCCCTATTCTAAATAATTACTTTTGATAAAAAAAATAATTTAATTGAGCCTGATACATCAGGCTGTTCCTCGTCCTGATGAAGTGAATTGCAAGGCTCACGAAACGTTGGCATTCCAAGAATGGATCTAGACACGGAGAAAACACACAACAGTTATATAGAAAGCACGTGGAAGTTTCAAGAATATTACGAAATATTTATTACTTAGGATACTATCCAACGTCGAAATCGACGTTCATTCGACATCGATTCTATTGTCATTTCTCACTGGGTGTTAATAAAAATGTGATATTACATAATGACTCGAAGAAAAAAGTAAATGGTAATGTAGCCTTCAAATCCATAAAAATAGCCTTAAAATATTAATTTTGTTTAGAAAAAAGTATTTGATTACAAAATTAATAAAAAAATAAAACATTTTAAAATGTATATAAATAAATGTATACAGTATATATTATATTATAGTATACATTTACATCACTTTTGCATGATCTGCTCAGTATTAAAAATCTTAATATTAAAAATAGTACACGTAATATAAATTATAGATTAACAGTAGAGCTATAATTGATTATCAAATAATTATTTTGATATAAAAACTTCAAAAAAGAAATCGTGAGTAATCAATATCCATAGAGGGCCACATTAGCAAAATGCCATGCTATTGTTTAAATTTGCATAACTCAAAATATATATAGTCAAATAAAATGTTAAATAGCAAATAATACACTCAAAAATATATTCGTGTTAATAATACATTCAAGTTTAAGAAAAATGAGGAAGTAAGTATAATTAAATGCTAAAATGTTTCGAAATATTTGAATGTAAAAATGCGTTATAATAAGTGACTATTGATATATTAGCATAGTGTAACGGGAAGCTACTAAACAAATAATTCCATAAGTAATTATTAGGATTTGCTATATAATAGCGGAAATATTAAGGGAAGCCACAATATATACACTGGCCGTAATACTGGAATTCTCTTTCTACTGTTGGTCAAATTTTGAGGCGAGAGAGAGAGAGAAAGAGAGAGAGAGAGAGAGAGAGCAACGTGTCTATCTTGTTGCTGACATGTTGCTTTCTAAGTATGCATTACTAAGTATGTGTTGCTACCAGAATTACAGCAACTGAGTCCTCATTTGTTGGCAACTTGATGCCTTCACAAAGTGATAACATCACAAAGTTAAGTAGCAACTTGGCAGCAATATACTGACAACTTTAAAATCGTCATCATCAAAATTTATACTCATATTGCCAATAATATGCAGCATCGTACAATGCTGTCATACCGACAACGCAAGATAATATTGACGCAGTTATCTTGTTAAACTATTAGCAATATACATATACATATTGTTGTCTGCATGTTGCTATAATGTATATTCAAAATCGTTGAAGACAAGTTTATGGCAAGTTGCTAGCATCATAAGCAATCACAGATTTGTACGATTCTGCTGAGACATACTTTGTTTGGTATATACTGATATTTGGGTATATACTGATATACATATATATATGTAATTTAAATTACCTATCACAACGTATGTATAATAATGCACATATTGCACATTCGCGTCTGCAATCATACAGAAAAGTTTTACAAAAGAAAATGTATAATTAGATTTAGACAGTTAAAATTGGAAAAAGATTTAAATTTAAATATCCACATATAAAAAACTTTTATATTAGGTGTTGGAATTAATTCGTAGCGTTTTTTAATGAAAGAATGTTATTTATTTCACATGAGCATTAAAAAATACATTAATGAAAGTACTTCCCATCACTTGTAAAACGCTACGAATTAATTCCAACACCTAATATATCTAATTCTATAGGAAATAAACGCCTTTAACAATTTAACTGGATTTTAAGTGCTTGTATAATTCTAAGTGAATTTATGTACTACGCATGTAGTCTTCTAAACTGCGCGTCGAAATAATTGTTCAGTCTTGAAACGTAAACTCTAATTTTAATTCGTGATATTATTACGACAATTCAGTAGAGTTTGCGTTTCAAAACTGAAAAATTATTTCGGTGCGCAATTTAAAGGTTTATATATATATAATAGTATATAAATTCACATAGAACTATACAAGCACTTTAGACCTAGCTAGATCGTTAAAGGCATTTATTTCCTATAAATTAAATATACTTTTTTTGTAATTCATACTTTTATATTGAATTTTTACGTGAAAATTGAACTTTTTTTTCATGCATGAACTATTTTTACATTTTTTAATATTTTCTAAATCGGATAGCTATTTCTCTAGTAAATTTAATGCAGATTAAAAATAGTTAATCAAATTTTTGATACAGCGTATTTTGAACTCGTTTTACTATCCACCGTGAATGCCTTCATCACGCGCAGGCCTCCGAAAGGTGTGCTATAGCGTTGCTATTTTGTTTGTCAAGAATATAATTATTACACATTTTGTGCACTAAAATAAGAGTAAAAAATATATATGTATAAAAAAATTTTTTTTATTATATATAGTTTTTTAGTAATCAACTCCAAAAGTATGATTTTAAACCTTCCAAGATGGAATAAGGGAAAGGGAAGTAAGATGATTTTAAGATTTGTCGATTTTTCCTAATTTCTATCGATTTTTTCCTAATTTTTAATTATTTTTAACCAAATAGATATTTTATATGAGACAAACGTGAAAGTTATATTATAAAATATAAATGCTACTTTTTTATTGTGATATTATGAAAAACTGTATAACATACAGGAACAATGTACATATTACATAATTCTTCTCTTCTTCATAGGAATGTTTATACTAGTCATATTGATTATATTGTAGGAAGAAAGATTTGAACCATGAGCATCAAATTATTTATTATTTGAATTGCAAAAACGTCACGCTTGGTCATGCAAAATGGTCATGCAAAATGGTCTGAAAAAGAGATTAAATGATCTTTCCAACGGTACCTTCGATTGGATTTTATTTATGCCCTATAGAGAGCAAAAACTGCAAATAGGTCCGATTTACCCCACTCTCCCCTATATATTAGGTATAGTAAAAAGAAATCCATTATTTTTCCAATAGATGGCTTTAGTAATCTGTATCACGCGTAGACGAGATACAGATTACTAAAGCCATCTATTGGAAAAATAATGGATTTCTTTTTACTACACCTAATATTTATATAGAGGAAAGGCCCCTATTATGAGATACCGAGTTTATTTTGAGTAAATGCTAGAAATCTATGGGCAGAATTTAAAAAAGTAATAGGTCATTTTGAAGGGAAATTAATAAGCTTTAAGACAATGTTACGTCAAATTTAATACAAATTTTATTTCTTTTTTATAAATTAAAGAAATGTAAGAAGTGAGCAAATCGCAAAGTCAAAAAATTGTGCTCCTAATATGAAATGTCTCGAGGAATCAATAATAAAACGTAAAGTATATCAGTGTATTGCAATTAAAAAACTTTATTTAATATTTCTAAAATACAAATAAATAATCAGTGCATGTTCAAAATGAGTATGCGATGTATTGTACCTAGCTGACTCGTTTTCAGGTTTTTGGAACTAAGCAGAAACAGGCACTTGATGTTTATTGTTTCTTTTTAATACAATAACATTTATACTTCACAAATGATTTTCACAAAGGACATTATCACAAAGGAGTATAGGTTATTTCATATTAGAAATACTGAGTATCTTATATTACGATTTTCATGCCTTACGATTTATCATCAAATCTAACTTCTGTAATTAAACAATTCAACATATCACGTATTTTTCTATTAATACGATCTTACTCTATTACCACATGAAGAATTTATTGCCAAATATTTACTTACTAAATTATAAACGAGGTTTAAAAACTCATCTCAACGAAACTTGAAGACATCCAAATTCTAAAATTTTTTTTTGCAATGATATAGGCACAATCTAATAATAAATTTTCCATTAAATAGTTTTCAATCTAAGAACAATAAATTCATAGTGGAATCAATAGATAGCGTTTATTAGTTTAGCGGAAACGCCGCTATCTCAT